AGAGAGATGGGGGAGGGGAGGGGAGAAACCACTAAAAAAAGAAAGCACAGGAGGTCCCTGAGAACAGTAGACTATTATCTGACTGCAAACTTATCATACCCAAATCGCGTGATGGCTTAGGCCACTTAAAACCACTGCAGAGCTCTGCTTATTTCAGAAACGGATAGAAAATGTTCTCTCCCTTCCTCCCAGCCGATCCCTAGTTCTTACGACTTGGTTCCTTCGTCACTCACAGCCCCCTGCCTTAAAGAGCCCCTCTGTGTCCACGTCCCACCCCCAAGTAGAAATACTCGGCCTCTGCACTCGCTATCGCTGGCTGTTTGCCAAGCTGGCAGCAAATAGCAGTAGATAAAGGCTATCATCTGGGTTTTGTTGCCCGCGGGCCAGGCCGGCTGACAGCCTGCTTGCACCCTTCACTGAGAGCACCTCAGTGCTGCCCCCAGAGAGTTCGCTTCTGCCCCTTCTCACCTAAGTCTTGGGAGAATCGCCTGTTTCTTTCTCAAGGGGAGGGGAAAGGACACCTCAAACTGGAAGCCAGAGGAGTCTGAGTTGCCCAGGTTCAATGCTCTGTAGTTAAATGCCTAGCAAATCACCATAATCCTGTTCTGAGGCTGGGTGGCCGCTGCGTCCTAGAGAACTGTTTGCCTACATAAACCTAGCCACTGCTCACCCGTGCAGCTCCCGTCAGTGGCTCCCTACCAAGGGCCTGTACGCGTAAGTCACCAGTAGAACTTAAAAGCAGATTCCAGACCCCCCCACCCCACCCCACCCCACCCTACTGAATTCGATTGTCCTGGGGGAAGGCTGGGACGGTTGCATTCTTTTTAAAAACTCAGATGAGCCCAGCCGGGAGTGGCTCAGTGGTTGAGCATCGAACTAGGATCCAGGTGACCGGGGTTCGATTCCCAGTCAGGGCACATGCCCTGGTTGCAGGCTCAATCCCTAGTCGGGGGTGTGCAGGAGGCAGCTGATCAGTGACTCTCTCATCATTAATGTTTCTATCTCTCTCTCCCTCTCCTTTCCTCTCTCTGAAATCAATAAAGATATACTTTTTAAAAAAACCAAAAAAAACCTCAGACGAATCTGACCCTCATTCCTGGTTAAGAACCAGTGCATGCTGTCAAATTAAGAAACTGTTTCTTAACATAACATTTACATATTCATGAATCTACTTACTTACCATAGGCTATGTATGTTACCAGATTCTATGGGTTCCCTGCTTGGGGTGCTCTATTAAAAAATGAAAGATGGTTGTCCCAAGGTAGTTTTATTTACTTGCAGCAAGTAAAGAAGACGGGATTCATATCCAAAGCTCTGTCTCCTGGAAGGGACATTTAGCCATTGCTTAGATACACTATTTGGTCACTTTCATGTTTTCTTTTTTTTTTTTTTGCAGTTGGCTACTTTCATCCCCCTTGAGTTTTTGTCAACTCATCCTGTTTGCTGCTATATCTGCAAAATACTATGCTACATTTTAACATTAAACAAGAAATAACATTTAGCAGGAATGGCCCAGACCTTGAGACCCTCAACCTATCTAAGATGTAGGGTAAGTAGTTGTGGAGTTAGGTATCTGTTCAAATCCTAGTTCTGCCCCTCACAAGTTGTGTGACCTTGAACCAGTTGTTAATTTCTCTATGCCACAAATTCTTCATCTGTAAAAGTACCTTTCTCAAAGGGTTATTCGTATTAAGGATAACAGTATCTACCTTATATGGCTAGGTGAAGATTACATGAGTTAATACTATAAAAAAATCCCCAAACTTAGAACACACTAAACAATAAGTGTTAGCTATTATTATTATCCTCACATGATATTACTTTTCAAACTATTATGCTTAATAAAATAGTCACCAAAGAGGGAAGAGATCACTCCCTAAATATTAAGTACTTTGATATTGAAACACTCCTTACTCTTCCCAGTACGTGTTTACTCTACATTACGCTGATAAACTATGTTACTGTTAAAGGGACACTTTGGTTTCTTAAAAGTTTAAGTCAATTCTTTGCCAATTTTGCTACTGGCCTTACCCTGACCAGTGCTGAGCTTCTTGACGCCCCATCACTTTTTGGCCCCGCCCTTTAAACGAGTGCAGCTCAGGGAAAGGGAGACCTCTTGTGGCCATATGTGCATTACAACAGATTTTTCCTTTGGAAAACCAAGCCCTGTCCACGAAATGGAATTTATTAAACTTGGAGTGAATTTTAAACTGTGTTTAAAAGTATCTATCCCATTCCTCTTTTTCATAGGACTTTTCTTGGTTAGATGGGGCAGTCACTTGTTTCCTATGTTTCCTTCTCAATTTATCAAGTGTGACTGCTTCCTAGGGAGCCTGGAGAGAAGGGAACTGAAAATCCAGAACAGAGAGGACTGCACACGGAAACCCACTAGAGTTCTCAGCCTTGAAGACTCAGCTGAAGAAGCCTCACCTCCCCAGACAAGTTTCCTGGCTGGTTAGGTAACTTCCCACATGCTGGCTCCTCCCCCAAACTAGGAGTTGTTTGAAGCAAGGATTATCATCATTCCAAAGCAATGTATGCACGCCTACTCTGCGGGGCACTCTGGCGCATCTTGGTATGCCCAGTGCCTGCACATAGTGGGTTTCCCTCATCTCTTCTTAGCATTTGCAGCTGACAGCTCCCTTCTTGAAATGCTTTTCCATTTGACTTCCACAGCTCTCTTGGTTCTGCTCTTGCTGCTCCTACTCGGTCTTTTACTGGTTCCTTCCCATTCTCCCACCCTCTCTATACCGAGAATGTCCTAGAGCTTGGTCCTTGGACCGATTCTTTATCTACATTTGCTTCCAAGGTGATCTCCTGCAGTCTCATAGTTTAAATACTGATGGCTCCTAAATCTGTATCTTCAACCTGTATCTTTTCCTATCTTCAGTCATATATCCAACAACGAACTCAACAGCTCTGCATGTCATAAGCATCTCAGACTTAATGAGACCACAACCAAATTCCCAATTTCTCCTCCCAGATCTGCTCCTCCAGTTCAATTCCCAGCTTGTTAAAAGTCATCCTTAATTCCAATCTTTCTCTCACACCTTATGTCCATTCACAAGCCCCTTCAGCTCTACCTCCAAAATGATTTCAGAACACATCTTCTCTCCTGTACGGCCAACTGTCCAAGCCACTACAAACGACTGCCTGATTTACTGCAATAGCCTCCTCACTGCCCACCCTGCTTCCCCTTCCCGTTCCTAGTCCACACGCAGCAGCAGCCAGTGCTATTTTAAAAGGCCAGGTCTGATATCATGTCTCTTCTCCAACATCTCCACCCCAAAATGGTTCCCTATCTCCTCAGGAGCCCAAGCCTTTAAGGTGGCCTACAAGGTCCTCTCTGATCTGTCCCTGCCCTATGCTTCTGTGACCTCACCTGCTTCAAGCCAGGTATCTTTGCTGTTCCTCCTGCCAGGAATCTTATTCCCCCAAATACCCTCATGGCTCTCCCCCTCACTTTCTCCAGGTCTCAGCTCAAATATCACCTTATCAGAGGTTTACCTGATCACCCCAGCCCTGACTATCCCCAATCCTTCTGTCTCCATGGCACTTTCTCTGAGGACAAGGATGTTGTTCTGCTTACTGTTCCATTCCTAGCACCTAGTATAGTGCTTCTGGTGCATTAGGCTCTTGGTAAATGTGCTGAATACGTGAATGAATGTTCAATGACTAATTATTAAAGACACATGTCAGGATGCCCCTCTTCAAAATTTATTAAGAGTATAAATTCCTCAATCCACAATCTGAATCCATTTCCCAGGGCATGTAAGAGAAAGAGTTCAGTAAACCGCACTCACAAAAAGTCGAATGTCCCAATGAGGGACACATATTAATATTCGCCCAACTGTGTCCGAACAGAGCAAGTTTTAGCTTTAAGATTCATGTTTTGAGGAAGATACTGAGACGTTACTACAACTCATTCCTGCAAATCCGGAATGCCTAAGCTTTCACCGAAGTTTGGATTTCTTCAACAGGTTCCTTGGACACTGGGACTTGGTCTTTTTCATTCTGACACCCCCTCCTCACAACTTAGTATGAAAGGAATGTGCATCATCCTTCATTGTCTGAGGACTGTTATGTTAATACACAGAACTAAGCAAATAACCAGACGACTGGTTTGAAAAGCAAACCGAAAAGGACTTAGAGACAGGAACCATCTGAATTCGAGTAACATGTTAAGCCCATTTGCTCCATTACTTTGCAGTAAAAAAGGTGAAGCAAGACAGGAGTTATGGAGGTGAGGGTGGGTGGTGGGTACAGTCAGCTCTAATGGCCTAGACCAGTGGTTCTCAAAGCGTGCTCTGGGAACCCACTCTTTCAGAGGATCTGCGAGTTCAAAGCCATTTTCATGTTAACATTTTTTCAAACTCATTGTCTCACAAGTGTAGTTTTCCAGGTCACATGACAGGGAGTGTCACAAGAGACTAAATGCAGAAGCAGACATGAAAATCTAGCTGTCTTCAATTAAGTCAAACACTAAAGGGATTTGCAAAAATGTGAAACAATGCAACTCTCCTCACTAAATACTTTTTGTTTTGGAAAAGTTATTTCCCAATTTAAAATATTACTTATATTAACATAAATGGATTTATGGATTATCTTTAAAGTAATATATATATTTAAAATTTCTTGGTTTTAACTTCTAATATGGTAAATAGTGATAAATATAACCCACATAAGCAAAAGCTCTTTGGGATCCTCAATTTATAAGCACAAAAAGAATCTTGAGGCCAGAAAGTTTCAGAACTGCTGCCTTAGCTATATGAATAGTGCACCTTCTCCTAGCATTATGAAACCCGTTACAGGTCCCAGTGCTGTGATGGAAGGCATTTTGCTTGAACCACGGCCTTCAGATGTTACTCAGTCTATACTAAACCAGTAACCAGCAAGGGTCTCTCACTACTTAGGTTCAGGGTTTTTCCAGTATATACCTTTCCCACCTTTCCCAGTTATAAGTCCACCTATTTGTAAGCCCAGATCCCACTGTCATGAATCAACCCTGCAGACAGCGGGATGTTTGAGTAGAGAGTAAAACTTATTTTGTAATCTAAATAAAACAAACTTTTTGTTAACATGGTGCTAAAATGGCTGAACAGGTTTCCACTAAATTCGATGGGTATGCTTAGGATGGTCTGAATTAAATAAAAGTTAGGTGGCACATGTAAAATTCACTTTGGAGCCATCTGAAAAAGATAGGGATTCATCCTACAGCTGAAATTAAGGACAGATTTTCTTATTTTTTATCAAACTTTGGAGAGTATTTCACGATGGTTGACCAGAAATACAGGATACAATACATATAAAATTCTCTTATGGGGCTGCTGGGGTAGGAGGGCAGTGCAAAGAGATAATATCCAGTCAGGGCATTTGAAACTGAGGTATGAGATCTACATTACAAGTGACTGAAACATGGCATATATATTAAAATGAGATGAAGACACATACTAGTTTCAAATATCATACCCCCTCCCTCCAACTGAAGCAGCCCACTCCAAGCTGCTGCTTCCATGAGAGACGTCATGTGACATGCCCCAGGATGAACAGCACCAGCAGGGTTTGCTTAGTGATGGCTAATGATTCTCTCAAACAACACAGGGCAGCCAGCTAGTTTATTCATACTGAATCTAAACCTTAGATCTCTGGCTTAACAATAACGTAAGAAACCTGTAAAGACAATAAATTTTGTGTTAAATCAGAGATGGCTTAAATCAGTCATAGAAGTTCTAATATTCTGGGCCGGCAACTACAGCATGACAAATGTTCAGTCCAATTACAAAACCACATTGCATTTCCCTTGCCCGCCAAATCTTTAACAGATTTGAAAAATGCACCGTTTTACAAAGGCTTTTAAAACATGTACCCACTGCTACCAGTCAAGTAATTGTGGTTTCTTCATCCCCCAGGAGCATTGCTAAGTGAAAGGGCTTTTTCTTTAATCAGCTTGCCTTGGTAGGTGTGTAAGAACTCAGAGAACAAGTTTAAAGAATGAAGATGAACAGATGCCAAGTAAAGTTTTTATTGCAAGCACAGTGAGCAGATGTCTTCTCACACAAAGTGGTTGCCAGGTCTGCCATTAACTACATCTCTCTGACAACCCTTCATTGGTTTAAAGCATGTTAGTTGGCTTCTTGCTATCAGGTGTACATCATTTCTGCCATGTGGGACATTTTCTTGGGAATATACAAGTAATATTCCATGTAGCCTGACAGGTCCTCAATGGTCACGTCATCCACATAGACTCGAGCTTGCTCAGAACAGGAGCGGGGGGAGCCAGACAGAGTTCTGGTGTGAAGCGACTGAGAGTAGTCCTCAAGAGTGGATCTTCGTTCTGGGGCCAAGGGAGGAACATTCTGCAGGCCTGAAAAGGAATACACCTCCATATCATGCCACCTCTTACACTGGCACTCCTTGCCCAGGCATGCACATGGCTGGCCCTGGTTTAGCTTGGAAACAGATTGAAAGTCAGAGAGATCATTGGCTTTGAGACTTGCTTGGGAGACTTGAGTAGCATCAGAAGAGTCTTCCTTCTTACTCTCTGACGGCAGCCTTGGAACCGAAGTTCTCAAAGGCTCAAGAACTGCCCCTGTGTGATTAGTATCGAGAGAAGTAGAGCATTCTCCTGCATTGAAGTCTTTAGGGGTTGAAATTCCCAGCCCACTGCTGCCGTCAGGGGAGTCAGTCTGGACTTTGTGCTTGAGCTGGCTGCTGGAAGAAGACGCTATTGTACTGCAATGTATAAACTTTGGGGGATGAAGGACAGGAGACTTAGAACGTCGACGACGCTGGGTTCTCATTGCTCCTCGTGAAGACTTCCTTGTAGAACTAAGAGGAAAAAAATGTATAGGAAGATGTTGGGATACAGAGCTCTCCTAAACAAATTCTTTATGACAGTTGAAAATCTGCCTCCTCCCAGGCTTATGAGTCTAAGGTCAGAAGCTTCCCCCAAAGAGCTGTGCCTGCCTCCATTTTAAGTTGCCTATGTCTCTGTGTCTCAGAAACGTCCACATCTCCATATTAGCCAGCTATAGAAACAGGAGAGGTAAAGGGTAGTTTTTACCTGCATTTCTTGAGCCAAACATTTAGTGCAGAACACCCGCCCTGTCCCAACCCTTGGCTCAGGAACTTGTGACCCAGAGGGTCTGGGAAGCACCCTGCACAGACAACTGAAACTGATGCTGTAAAAACTAAATGTTTCTATGCCCTGAATTCAGCAGCTTCAGTACCACTGTGACGCTAATGCTACAAATGGCCACTATGCCATGATCACTAAACGGAGCAACAGGTTTAGGATTCATGTCTATCACTGATTAACAACAGCTGACAGACTTAGACTCCTAAAGTTTTCAGATATTTGGAAATATCAGATAAACTATATAACTGTTCAGAAAATATTTAATAAAGAAAAGAACAGAGCAAAGCAAAAAAGGGACTCAAAATTGCCAAGCAAATTTGAAAACAGAACCAAATAGAACTTTAAGAAGTAAAATACTTTATATTTGGAATTAAACAAAACTGATGGGCTAAACAGCAGAATGCATAAAGTTAAGGAAAGAAATACTAAATTGGAAGATAAACTTAAATTATTTATAATAGGGGTCAGCAAATTGCAACCTGTGGGCCAAATCAGGCCTCCTACCTGCTCTGTACAGCCCACATTGCTCCTGTGGGCTAGCACTGTGAGCCAGTGTTCCCCTTTGCCCCCGTTCTCCCCTCCACTCCCTGCACCTGCCTTCCTGGCCAGCAGACATGACACATCTCTCCTTAGGGCCCATGCTGGCTACTATTTGCATGTTGAGGTCCTATTGTAGGCAGTCACTGGGCACTGAGAAACAGAATCTCAGTTTGAGCATCTGGCCTGTGCCAGGTGCTCTCTGGAGGAGAGAAAGGCATGCTAGAATCTGGGTACCACTAGGGCAGAGAGTAAAACTGACCCTGTCACTGTCCCCTACCTACCCATCACACCAGTCAAGTCGTTTCATCCCAAAAATGTCTCAGCATCTTAACACAAAGTGTGTCCTCCAGCCAGGATAGTACACATGAGGAGGGCAGGGCAGGAGTTTTCTCACTTACGTAAGTACCTACCTAACATCCTCAAGATCTCACCTCTTGCCCTGCAAAACCTAAAATATTTACTATTTTTCCCTTTACAAAACAAGTTTGCTGACCCCTGACCTAGAAGGCAGGACAGAGACTGGAGAGTTGGGAAAAAGTAACAGTTAAGAGAGATATAAGACTAAGATGTCTGGAGTCTCTGAAAGAAAGGCTACAGAGAAGGAAAGAGTGATTTTTTAGGAGATGAGAGCTGAAGAACTGTCTGAATTGATGAGAGAATCTACAGATGTAGGAAGCACACTGAAGCAGGACTAATAAAAAAAATCAGCACTGAGACACGCTGAAGCAAACTGCAGAATACCAGACCCGAGAGGACCGTAGGAGCCACCTGAGACTTGACAGATATTTCCAACTGAACAACTAGATGGAAAGAAAGCTTTTCAATGTCAACATGGAAGCCAGAAGACATAGAATAACACCTTCAAGTGCTCAGAGAAAATAACTACCAATCTGGAACTATGATTTCAGCTACATCAAATTAGGTATTTCTTCAAAGAACAAGGATGAAATAAAGCCATTTTCAGAGAAATCAAAGCCGAATATATTTACCAACAGAACATGTGCTATACAACTCCAGGGGCACCATTAAATTTATTCTATGTGGAGTTCTGTAACACCCTATTTGGCCCTATTTGGTAATAAGACCTTTACTAAAGGAACCTCTGAAGGAAGTACTTTATGAAGAAAAAAAGTGATCCTATGGAAGGTCTGAGATATAAGAATGGTAAGAGCAAATAAAGTGTAAATGAGATAAATCTAAACAAACACTGTCTATTTAAATAATAATAAAGTTAAATAAAACCTAATTTGTGAGACTAAAAAGTGACAGAACTAAAATAGCAGACAACTACACCACGGAAGTCAGGTCAGAGAAAATGGGTTTTAAGGAGAAGGGTTAAATACTAACTTATGTCTTTGTTAAACATGTTTGGTAAAATTTCAAGGTTAACTACTAAAACAACAGAAACAAGGTATACAATTTCCAAACCAATAGAAGGAAAGCGGTAGGGGGAAAAACAAACCCATTTCAAACAATTTTTCTAAAGGTGAGAAGAGAAAAGGGGGGGGAAAAAAGTATGACAAATAGCATAAAATAAAATGGCAGGAACAAGTCCAAATGTATCAATCATCAAAATACATGTAAATGAATTTAAGCAGTTAAAAAGTTATCAGATTGAATCAAACAAAACAAGCCAGATGCACTTGTGAGACACACCTAAAGTGTTAAAACGCAGAATGACTGAAAATACTAGAAAAAGATACACTGGGCAAATACTAACTAAAAGGCAACTGTATTAGCTATATTAATTCCAGACAAAATAGACTTTAAGACAAAAGCCATTATGAGGGATGAAGAATGTGACCATGATATCTCAATTCACCACGAAGAAAACATTCTAACCTGTCATGAACATAGGCTGTATGATCCTACAAAATAGCCTCAAAATACATAAAACAAAAATATAGAGCTTAAGGGGAAAACAGGCAAATGCACTTCCATAGAGGAGATTTCAACATACCTCTCAATTATTGATCGGTCAAGCTGACAAAAAAATGTATTAAAAAAATTCAAATAACACATTTAAAAAGCTTAATTTAATGGACATATATGGAACCCAAGAATTAGAGAAAACCCATTCTTCTCAAACATAGAACATTTATAGAAATTGCCTATGAACCAGGACATGCAGCAAATCTCAGCAAATTCACAAATGGAAAGAATGGGTCTTCTCTAAATGTTGGGTCCTGGGTCCCGTATTATAACATACCCATTTCTGAATACATGGGAAAGAAAATCCAGTGACATTTTAAGGTATTGACATAAAAATCATCTGCAAGCAGCAGCTCTTACCCATGCCAACTATCTTTAGATGCACATGTGGTTTTAGGTTTGGTATCATCTGCTGCTGTTCTGACTGATGCTCTGACACTCGGGCCTTCTCCAACAGACAGAGACGCTATGGACCTAAAGACAAGAACAAAGTTTACTGCTACAGAACTTACTGCTCTCACCAACACAAAGAAAACTTGTTTTCTTTCTAGTTTGAGTTTCTCAAAAATTGTTCAGGTTTCAGTGCAAATTTTCCTTCTAAACCTAATTTAGAGAATCCCTAAAAAACCCACTCTTGCAAAATCAGAAGCCAAAGAATGATTCTTAAGTATAACCAGCAGCAGGATATAAATAGACTTTTAGGCTGTTTATCTGGGGCAGATCAGGCCTTATGTCCAGGGAGAATGCTAATGACACTGACCACTTATTTTACGTGGGCAAACCAGAGCAGGAAACTAAGTTTAGGAGTAAAAACTTTAGGAGACTCAAACTTACTTGAAAATGAATACATTTTCCAGTATTATACAACTTTTAGAAAAATATACTAATTTTTACAATAAACTTGAAATATTACTCAGAATTAAATCTTAGCAGTTTGAAATTACACAAAGTAATATGGATTCCCAGTAAAGAAGATGAAAAAATTTAAAAGAAAAAAGAATCATTTATAATCTCATAACCCAGAAATTACCAACATTAACATGTTGCATAAATCCTTTCAGACCTTTTCAATACACACACACACACAGCTTCTATCACACATGCTATGTATGATACTGATAAAAATCCCTTAGAAATAGAAAATCTACTAGAGTAAAATAAAAAGATGTCCACCAAAATATAACTAAAAATAAAATGTAACTGGTAATGATTTAAATGTCCAATAACAGAAAATACTGTATTATATGAATTATGGCAGATTTATACAATGGAATATTAGAAATTTACTAAAAATTAAGTGTATAACCCAAGCCAGTTTGGCTCAGTGGTTAGTGTCTGCCCACAGACTGAATGTCCCAGGTTTCATTCCAGTCAAGGGCACATACCTCGGTTGCAGGCTTGATCCCCGGCCCTGGTCGGGGTGCATGGGGAGGCAACCAATCGATGTGTCTCTCTCACATCAATGTTTCTCTCTCTCTGTCTCTCCCCCTCCCTTCAATTCTCTATTAAAAAAAAAAAAAATCAATGGAAAAAGTATTCTTGGGTAAGGATTACCAAAAAAAATAAAATAAAAATAAATAAAAAATTAAGTGTATAAAGAACTTTTAGTAACATGAGAGAATGCTTATAATATTAAGAGGAAACAGCATGGATAAACACCTATAATACATTATGATCTGAACTGTGTAAAAAAAGCATATGGTGTTATATACATATACAGGTCTAGATAGTAACAGTGATTATGGTGAAATGTGATGTTTACTTCCTTTTTTATTTTTGTGACATTTTCTATAATCATGTATTATTTTAGAGTCAGGTAAAAAGGATTATGTTGTTTTATAATAAATATATAGAGATTTGTCTTGATAAGACAAATACCATTAGAAATCAAAACCTGTTGAACAGGATCATACTAAATTCCAGGCAAGGCTTCCTTAGTTTATGAGTCAATACCTCAGATGTCCCATTTGTAAGTCAGCAACAATATGAAATAACTACAAATGTATGATACACTGTAGAAGTCTTATTCTGCTTAGTCATGGTGATGACTCACCCCTTCTACTCTTATTTGTTCAGTTTTCTCAAATGTTCTCCACTGTTCCTTCTCTTTATATAATTGTACTCAAAGCAGATCACATGCTACAAATATATATTTGGCCATATATTGTGCAGATATTCTGAAAGGTTATTTAATGTTCCAAGTAATTTTTAAGGGCACTAAAACAGCTTAATTTTATGTTCCAACTTCTTAAAATACCAGGAAAAGAATCTGTGTATCAATAGTCATTTATATAATATAAATGTATAAACTAAGAAATTTATATGTGTATATGTGTATATGCAGCATTCCTAGTACTTTCCTGCTTTAAAAAAAATTATTTCTATACCAAAATCACGAAGGCATACACTATGACCACAATCTGGAACTGCTTCTCTGCTTTATTTCCATTTCCCCAAATGGCTTATAAAGTACTGATCAATTTTAATGGTAAGATGACCACCATATTGGAAAAACCACTGAGAGGAAATAGATACTTATTAGAAGTATCATGGAAGCAAATGTGGGCACCTGTAACAGCTATTACACAATTAATATATTTAGCATAAATCAGTCAGTTAGTATAAATCTTCTCATTTGGTCAGCCAAAAGAGTGTTACCAGACAGCTATAACAACAAACATCTATTTAATTTTTACTCTGTGCCAGGTACTGCATGCATTTCTTCGTGTTGTTTTCAAGGTACCATATAAAGGAATGGTTAAGAGCACAGGTTCTGGAGACATGCCGGGTTCAAATCCGATCTACCACTTCTTACCGATGTGACCTTTAGCAAGTAACTTAATTCATCTGTGGCTCATCTGTAAACTGGAGTAACAATAGCATCTATCTTCTAAGTTGGTAGTGAGGATTAAATAATGTGTATGAAGTACTTAAACTAGTGTCCAGGGCACACTGAGTATTAAATTTTAGTCATTATTATTATTACTTGTTGTGAAGTATTCTTCTCTGAGTTTCCACTATTTGGTTTCCATTCATGAAAAGAAATATTCTTAAATCCATTACAAATTTGAGATTCTTCTGGCCTGGGGCAAAGAATGGGGATCCTGCACAAAACATTTTGCAAAGGGTGAAATATTAACATTCAGACAGCAGCTGGTCTGTAAGTGCTCTAATTAGTTTGGCCAAAGGGTCCAAGATTATTGATCTCTGTGACAGAACCCTAATGAATAGGTTTCCATAGTGATAGCCTCAGCAACAAAGCCCATGAAATTCACAGTGCCTGCACAGATTTCTATTGAGGCAATTCACTTTTAGTGAAAAAGACTGATTTCTTAGAGATATATGAGGAAATCCTTAATGGGACACTGCTTGATAATGTTTGATTAAAAAGAGAGGGGGAAAGCCCTCCTCAAAGTTAAGGAAAACCAAATCATGGAACCTTGAGGTACAAATGAACTACGACTTTTCAAAACTTAACAGAAGAGTTTCTTTTACAAGTAACACACTGCGGTGCAGAACTTGGTAGACTGTCACATAACATTTATATCTTCTACAAATGAGAAATTTTAGTAGAGAAAGAGCTCTTCAGATTAAAAGGCTATTTAAATGTAGTGAATAATTCCCAAATAACATATTATATATTTAATTACCCTGATGCATCCACTCTTAATTTCTTGAAAGCAGTTTGTAGGCTCTCCTCCTCTCCATCCTTGGCTTCGGATTTCATTGTGAAACTTTTCACACTACTATGATGTTCCCGCTAATACTAAAAAAGAAAATCAAAATGAGCACAGTGAAAAGAGATGTTCAAAAGCATACCTTTTGTTAACATCTTTATTGCTGTTACTATTACTACAGATACTATTATTGTTTGTTGGGGAAATGGGGGTGAAATTTCTATTTCTAAAAAAAAAGATTCAGTATAGATGATTAAGAAACTATATATTCTATTTCTTATGTTTATTATGACAGAATTTAAACTGCCCAAACATTTGATGCCCAGATCCTTTTACACAGTTTTGGAAACAAGATCACCTAAAATATCTGTTTAAGTGCAGTTTTTAAAAGGGGAAAAAAATCTCTCCAGTTGTAGAACTGTAGAAACCTACAGACAAAATTATCTTTGCATCAGAAATAAATAGCCCTCTTGTTCTTTAAAATGCTACTATTTATCTAGTCTAACCCTAAAAATTCTAGTTAAGTATAACTTCATGATATATGGCAGCATTTCTCTAAAGCAATCCTGACCTAAATATCATTATTCTTATCAATATTCATACCCAGATTTGCAAGCTGTTCCCATTGTTAAAGCAGGATTACAAACATGTTTCAATGATTACTGATTATTCCACACTCTACCTATATGGTTGATACCTTCATTTTTTTTAATAGCTTTGAATATTTTATTACAAAAGAGAAAATAAATGTGCAACTCAAAAAGATAAGAACAAACTTAGCCTTCCCTCCCCAAGAAAGGTAGGAAGTAAAGAAAAAATAGAAATTATTGTTCTATAGATGAGCCTTTGAATGATCTTCATTTAATTTTTAAAAAGCAAAAAAAAATAAAATAAATAAATGATCAAGTTCTCAATTTCTTCCACCCTGATTATTACATTTAAACAAAGAAAAGGGGAAGGGGGACCAATCAAAGCAACAAGAAACACAACTGAGAAGTCTGTTAATAAATTCTTTGAATCTAGTTTCCCAATTATTTTTTCACTCGGGGTAAAATATTAGCTAATACCAAATCCTGAACAAAAAAATAAACTAGTATCTATGATATCATAGAGAATCAGAAAAATATTAAAAAAACAAAACAGAGGATGGAGTATTTTTTAAGCAAAAGATTCACTTCACCTCTTCTGTATTCCTAACCTGCTACCCCAGACCCCATCCCCCTCCCCCCTCAGGGACTCTCAGAGAGAGCAGTGCCTCTCTGTAGAGCCTTGGATCCTCTCTGATTCCCTCTCTACTCATTTCTCAGGGGTGGGTTTGATGTTATTGTGAGACCTCTAATATTCCAAAGGTCAGGGTGTCATAATATGCTGAATATAATGTAACCACATAGTACCAGTGGCAGAATAAAGAAGAAAGGAATCAAGACTATTAGTTTATTAATTTATGTATAGAGGAAGGTATTCTATGCAGATCTCTCTGGGGAATGAAACACTGAACACTGAAAGTCTCAAAAGAACTCAGCTAGCTTTCACCTCAACTTAAGACAAAAAATTTAAATACACTCACAACATATATTTTGCTGGTTTATTTAACCAGTATATGAATTTGAGGAAACATTATCAATTCTATACTTCATTGGTTTCTAATTCTTCTGAATTTAGAAGAGGATTCTTTCCCCACACACACACAATAATGTCCTATATTCTAGGGAGAGGAGTGAGCAAAGATCACACTGTCATATTTTTAAAGCCCCACTGCACCTAAAAGAGTGCTAGCGTAGGTTTGTAAACAAATTCTTCCTGCTGGCAGAACTAAAATCAGGTTTGACGTATGGTTTTCCTCAATTACTTTATAACCAGTCAGTCAAATGCTCACTTAGACTAGTGGCCTTTATAGAGAAATCATCTGAGCCAGTCTCCCCAACCCTGCAAACCCCACACTAACCCTCTTCCGCCTCTCTGGAAATCAGTACATCGCATCTAAACATACACTGCTGAATTCTATAGGCAGAAATTCACTCCTTCCACTAATACAGGATTCTTACCATGGGCTTAAGCACTAGACTGGGTGCTAGGGATATCAGGGTGAACTTGACACACACCAGGGCTGTGAACCCCCTTCCCGCAAGGACTAGAATCTCATTCCTGCTCTAAAACTATGCTAAGAAGCTCTATGCCCAGATATGTAACTTTTAATTTTATAGTCCTAATTTAACAGCACTACAAATGACCTCTGGATGTTAATACAAACTTAGTTAACATTCTTGTTGACACACTAAAAGTTAAAAATCAAAACAGACCAAAATAAAAACTGGATGCAGACTAAAACTTTGGGAATGAAGTTCCATCTCAACTATTTTCAGACTTCCAGCATTTTGATTACTCACCTTTTCTCTCAGTTATATTACCCCTGAGCAAAGACAAGGGTTAGACATGACCTTAAGAGCTAAATCACAGCATGTCTGTCATTTACAAAAAGTTTACTATGCTGCTCTGTATTCCTAGCTTACCATTCACTCAAATCAAGAGTTCTAGGACAAACTCTGGGAAACATAACTGGTTTGCCCTTCTTCATTAACATTAAATTTGTGGGAGACTTTCTTGCTGTTTTCACAGCCCTGACTTTTTGAAATTGAAGAATCCCCCAAAAGATCAAACTTTCAAAGGCCTATTAGAAGTCACTTTGATTGTTTTAAGTCAAATCACACAGGGCAATTTATGCCTCGGATTTTCCCCAACCTTTCAAAAATGACAAGCAAAATTCTTCTAAGTTCCTCCATCAAAAGGGCAAATTTCTGGTTTTCTCTGACTTTCAATGAATACCATGTGTCAGAATCTTATTTATATCTTGAAATTTTAAACAAGACCTCTTTCAACCTCAAATCTAGGTCCAAATGTCCAGGACCCTGGAAAGACCTGAGACAGAATAAAGGATCCCTGAGTAAGCGTGTCAACACAATGTTAAAGATTTAGAAACTGTCCCAGCCCACCAGGGTGCACGGAGTCCGGGAAAGAAAACCCTGTCCAACAATTCCCGAAGTCGCCAACAAGACTAGGTCGAAACGATTGGCCCCCGGGACAAAACAGTCACACCTCTCTCAACACACCCACTCAACCCCTACACGCTCCCTGCTAAAGCCAAAGCACAATGTTCTTCTTTTCACCCAGAATCTGGGTTGGTGGCAGTTAAACAGGATCAGAAGGAAAGGTCAGAACCCAGCGGGGCTCGGAGAGTGGGAAGTTATCAAGGAACCCCCAGCTCTGGGCGCCCCGGGGTCTCCAGCTCGGAGGCTGCCCCTCCAAGATACTCCACCGGCCAGAATGAGAGGTTTGAGTCGGAAGGAGGCGCCAAGGATGCAGGAGGAGGCGGGAGTGGAGCCACAGAGGCAGCCAACGAGACTGGGGCTCAGAGACGAGCGGGAAAGGGCGGGAAGGGGCAAAGGGCGGCTGAGGAGGGCGAAAAGGGGAAGCTACGGCCCGGCGGGAGAAGGCGGAGGAAAAAGACGGGGCGGGGGCAGCGAAAGGAAAGGAAGGCGGGACGGGGCGAGAGCGGAGCTCCGGCAGAGCCAGGCCGCAGCAGGCGGAGGAGAGGCCCAAGCCCGGCCGGGCCCAGGGAGTCCGCGCCGGAGCACGACGCGACGAGAGGCGGGCGGGCCCAAGGAAATCGCCCGCGGCCAGGTCGGGCTCGGGG